CCCCAAAACCCCCAAAACCCCAAAACCCCAAAACCCCATGATCAGAAAGAAGTATTGATTAGAAATTATGTATCGATAGTCATAAATGGAGAAGAAATTTCTAGTAGGAGGGGACTAGAAATGAAGAGGGCTTATGATTTAGTGACAGATAACTTCAAATCAGGAGCTTAATCTTCAATTTAATTGAAGAGAGATCATCATTATAAACAACCTTAGCCACCACAGCCACCACATCCTCCGCAGCCTCCACAACCTCCACAGCCTCCACCACCACAACCTCCTCAGCCACCATCACCACATCCACCTCCATCATTACCACCATTACTAGCTTTACCTGCATCATGTCCACCTCCATTCTTTCTCTTATTATCACCTATCAAACAAGATCAGAAACAATCCATTCCTTCTTCTGTTCTTTAAAAGACTACAAATTTCCTAAAATTCAAAAGCAAGACTAGTACTTTCAAGAAGCCACCAGAATTCAATCTTTACTAAAGATATGAAGCTCAACTCTTGAGGAATAAATAATACGCTAGAGATAGCATTGGTCTTATAGAAAAGAGTTTGATATGACTAGTATTCAGAAATGGTAAAAACAAAATTTGACAAGCCGAGAAGGTACCTTGGAAAAGCTCCTTTAAAGTTTATTAATGTTCTTATAATAATATCTAAGCTTCAGCATGGAAATTTTGAGAGGTAAATTATTCTGAAGGAGAGTCTTTTAAAATAGAGACTGTAAAAGTTAGGATGGGCATATGTGAAGTTATCAAGAATTGATCTAATGGTACCCCGTTAACTCACAACCAAAGTACTTGAGTAGAGTAAGGGGTTCTTTATAATAAAAACTTGGCTGGTCTTACTTGATTTTCCTTTGGTCTTATCTCCAGCACCCCCACGGTTTTTAGTGGTGCCTCCTGGAGTTCTCCCTTTGTTCTTTGAAGGATTTTTTGTTGATCCATCGCTAGTCCCTCAACCCATTCGAGTTATTTTATTTATGCTAATATATTAAAGATCAACTTTAAATGACCCTCAGGGGTTTTGGGGTTTTGGGGTTTTGGGGTTTTGGGG